GACCAACACCACATATTTGCTCACGCGTCACGCGGGACTCCATCACCTGAAAAATAGGGTAGTGGGGAGGCGTGAGCACAAAGAAATCAACGGTGCTCCGCCGGAACCGGCACTGAATACTCAGCACAATTAATAACAAACTATGAAATCAACATATATATGAGAAAACTGGTCTGACTATGGGACTAACGGAAAACCGGTACTCATGTGCACACTCTGGGGGTCCCCTCCCTCAGAAATCCAGGCTGGGCCTCGCCCACTCATCTGGACGCTGGACTTAGGCTGGGCCTCGCCCACTCATCTAAGTCATAACTGACATCTGATATCTTGACCAAGACGGGATCACTCATCCGTCTCGGTCCTTCAATTTAATCACATAGATCTCAGACATGGTAAATTATTAAAAGCGATGAAATACACAGTACATGGTCCCCACCTGGAAACTGGCGAAAGCGAATGCTGAATATATCTATAATGGGTAGCTGACGGAGGCTCGACTCTCCTCAAGCTACAAAATATATTGAGCGAAGTATTCTAAGTACTGAGCTCAGAATAAAACTCAAATCTTTAATATCTTATATATCTAGGTTCGCTCACTCGGCTTTAAAAATCATTTAGGGATTTACGAGCTGATTTTGAAAATATTATCGTCTTTGAGGCATTCTAGAGTTCTCTGAAATATTTCTAAATCTGGGACTAGAATCTGACTTAATCTAATCTGACTGAAATCTAAACTATATCTGAATCTTAAATCTATCTGAAATTCTTAACTTTATCTGAAATCTTAATCTGACTGCATCTGAAATTTATCTGAAATATATTTCGAACAGTTCGGACTGACCGGACCGGTTCGACTGAACTGGACCGACGGCTCACTCCGAGCCGGTCGATCATCCGCTTGACTATGTGCAGCTCGGCTCGACCGTGGTTCGAGTTCGGCGAGGCAACTCGGGCCGGCACGAACTCGACTGACACGGCTTAGCCGATGCACGAGTTTAAAACGGTGCCACGGTCACTGACGCAGGGGCGTGCTTGGACCACGGCTAATGGAACGACGCGTAGACGGCAAGTCGGATGGACTCGGTGCACGGGCACGCACTCGGGGGTTTGACTCGGACTCGGTGCACGGGCACGCACTCGGCGGCTCAGCTCCAACAGTCGGACGAGAGGCGATCACGGGCACGAGACGACGATACACATTACGAATTACGATACGACGGTTAAAGATTATCTAGACGGTACTAGGGTTCAGACAATTATGATCGGATCCAGAAAAATACCCGGTTATCGGAACCGGATAAAACTAAGGTTCGATTCTCGAAGAATTTTAACTCATTTAAGGCCGATAATTAATATACATATTCTATGTGATTTATAATAAATCTATAATCCACAACTGCAGCTAAAATCTCAATCAAACTAATATTTTATTTTTACGGCATTAATATCTAAAGTCCCGATTTTTATAACTAAGTCAAAAAACATCCAAAATTTACGAAAATCGAAACATAACATCCTCAATATATGTATGGTCCACGGTCAACAAATCAAGTCCAAATTCAACCCCTAAACTAGTCAACTAATAATCGCTACGACCGATCAACGCATTTGACCGGCTCGTTTACACACCAAACAATGTCCGAAAATTCTCAAATTTCAACCTAAGCCTCAAAACGACGCAACGAATTTTATGATATTTATTTCGGTATTTTATCACATATATTTCAAAAGTCGAACATATTAGCTTTAAGCCCGAAAATCACGATTTATTCAAAATCGCTCAAATCACCCAATTCATTATTTATATCATGTCAAATATTTTATCTAAGCCATTGAAGACGAGATTAAGCTAATATACCTCAAATCGATCGAATCGGGTGGACCGAAAAATAGATCGGGTAAGAAAATAAGGAGATGGAGCAACCGGGTCAGTTTTAAGGACTTGGGTCGGATCTTGAGGCTTCAAGCTTGCTGAAAATGGGCCAAAACTGCTGCTGGGTGGATCTGGTCGGGCCTGGCGCAAGGTGGTTCGGACCTGAGCTCGGTCGCGCGTGGAAGGGGCGTCGCTGAGGTCGTGGCTGCTCGTCGCGAGTTGGAACGTGCGATGTACGACTGTGGGAGTTGCAGATCGGAGCTCGAGCTTGCAAAAACGGGGTCGGGACTGAAGTTTCCGGCGACGATGAGTGTGGTCGCGAGCTCGAGCTGAGGTGGAACACGGACGGGACTGAGGTGTGGAGGATCGTTTTGGTCGTGGTTTGCCGGCGATTCAGAGCTGGAAGGAGTGGTGGTGACTGGCCGGAGGTCGAAGTCGGTCGCGAGTTCGGGCCTAAGACGATGGTGAGCTCGGGCTGGAGCTTGGTGCTGTGGGTGACGAGCTAGGGTTGCGATTCGAGCTGGTGGGGTGCTGAACGGGCCCGTGAACGAGGAGCTGGGGTCGGCCTGAGGTCGTGGTGGCGCTGGTTGCTCGTCGCCGGCGCGGTTTTGGCCGGAAAACAGGAGCTCGCCGGAAATGGTTCAAGACAAGCTTGAATGTGAAAGGAGCTTATGTTCTTGGCTTTGAAGATAGTTCTTGATATAAGCTATGCAATTATGTGTGTATTTAAGCTAGATCTATAAAAATGTAATTGTTTGGAATTAGATCTTGAAAATGGAGCTTGGATCTTGAAAGAGGAGAGGTAGGAGATGATTAATAGTAACATGTAGGCTAGGGTTTGGATGTTGTGTTGTTGGGAGATAAGGGAACAAGATATTTATAGTGGAGAGAGGAGCTTAGGGTTTCTTGTGTGTGTTGGGCTTTTATCGGGCTAGAGAGTCGGGCCTAAAATCGCTACATAATCGGGCTAGCAAAAATCCTAACACTCGGGCTCGATTAATTCGGATAGCGACTAGGAAATTAAATATAATGCTCTATAAATAAAATATGACGGCTTGTAATAATAATTTCGACTTAGGCCGAAATTAAATATTGAGCCCGAAATTAAAATACTACGAGGGCTCGATATTTAAAATATCGCTTGGTCTTGGAAATTAATTCGACTATTCGAATTAAAATGGCGGACTAAAATTATAATTTGGATCCGTTCAAAATCCATTGGGCTCGAATAATTAAATTTTTCGGCTTCGGTTTGCTTAAATAAAATTCTGACTTTAATAATTAAAGTCGAATGAATTATTCATGGCTTAAACTTTGATACTAATTATTTAATTTAATGCAAATAAATATAATAAATGCATCAAATTTAGAAACTTAATATTTATGGAAATATAGTCGAGCTCCATAAATAATAATTAAAAATCTGGGCGTTACAGATGCTGTCCAAAAATAGTAGCACAGATCGCAAACAAATTATACTATAGTAAGGTAAAGACTAATGAGTGTGGGTGAGGATATGCAACGATAAATACATGGATTAGATTCTGCTGAACACAAAGTCAACTCCTCAAGCACCGGACAACTGGACATCAAGTTAGTGAGATACCCTCCGGACTCACCATTAACTTCATAAATCTGAAGCTTCTTAAGAGCAGGAAGGCACACAGTGCCCAACATGGGAATTGGGCCACAATTAAAGAGCTTCAAATCCACGAGACTTTTGTAGGTAAAGATGCGAAGGGGCAGCCTGACTATATTATTTATATTGAGATAAAGATGCTTTACGTTGCGTACAATGGCTTTCGTAATGCACGTCTCGAGCTGATACTCCCCACCAGGATTTCCGTTGTAAATGAGGCGGAAAATATTCATGTCCTGCACTTTGTAAGGAGCATAGCTCGATATATGATGTCTGAGAAGCTCTTCTTGTCAGTACTAGCATAATCGAAGGGTTTGAAATCTATGTTGGGGACATGGGCCCACAGATCCCTCCATCTTCTTGATAGGATGCTGGTCTGTACTGATCTATTAGTGGGGAGAAAAGAGAGAATGTGGTGGAGAAGAGAATCCGGCAAGCTGCTGAGCCTATCAATTGAATCAATGCATTGGTACCCACGTGGAAGCTTAAGGCGCTTTCTGATCGATGGCGCTTGCTCCTCCATACAACGAGATCAAGAGAGAAGAAAACAAAACCGCGGACTGGGGCAGCATGAAGCTCCGACGCGGTTGAAAATGGGGCGAGGGAGTCATGGAGGTGCCAAGGGGAAATGCCTAAAGACAAGTGAATTGTGACTTGTGTGAGACAATCATGTGTTTTCGTTGATTTTAAAACAATCATGTGAGACAATCAAGTGAATGCAATTCCTATTATCCATATTTTTTAGCAATGCCAAAAGAAAAATAAGAGTTAATACATAACTTACAATTTTAAAACAAAATCTCAATTTTAACGTGTTATGGTTAAGACAATCTTATTGAAACACCTTTGCCAAACAATAGTTATACATAACTTTTCCATAGATATAAAAAATTTAAACAAATGATCATTATAATAATTTGAAAGTAAAACATAATACTAAACAAATAATGTTCCAACAATGAGAAATATAAATAATTTCAAAATGTTACTATATAATATCAAAAATATTATCATAAATAAAAGGTTAATATTTTGTGATATAAATACGCAACATTTTTGGAGTATATGAGTATACATTTTTCTTACAAAACTAAAAATAGTATCAAATCACCTAATTGTTGGACATTTGTGTCCTTTGAATCCTCCAATCTCTTCTTGTTCAAGCAAATTCAATTTCTACACAAACCAATAAAATATTCAAAGAAAAGAAAAATTAAAAAGGTTCATAAGATCTCTAAATAGTAAATAAGCTTTAGCAAAACAACGTTTATAAGGTCCCATTCATTAAAATATTCAGTTGTCATAAATTATCGCTTACAAGGCAAAATGGCACTCTTATACAAGTGCATGATATACATAAATTTCACCTTCAGATGCCAGATTTAACACAAAAAGCTAACATGCCGAAAGATTTTAGGTCTGCAACATTTATTCATACATCACCTTCTCTGAAAACTCGTAAATAAAAAGATGATATCAGCAAGGAATTCAGGTAAATTTTGTGACGGCCGCATGAATGGCATCCGCAAGGTGTGGCACTGTCCTTGAACTCAGACCAGCCATGCTTATACGCCTGTGTCAAAATTACGAAAATCAGCAATTGAGGTATAGTGCTTTCTCTTATTCATAATATATGTCGTTTTGAGAAGTTGCACAGTAATTAAGAATCTTTTTTTGCCAATAACCCCCTTTAATGAAAATAGAGATAGAGATGGATGTTTTGGGAAAGATGAAGAGTGAATATGAAAATGTGTAGTGTATTTATTAGTTAAATGAGGGTAATAGTGGAAAAATATGTACAAAATATCCTTTGATTAATAGTTGATAAAACTAAAATGACATTTAAAAATAATAGGAGGGAGGGAGTATCAATTTGGAAATTAAATGGAATATACAAAAGTCAAGGAGTTAAAAAAACCATGAATTTTGTGTTTTTACCCATCAGATGTCATGTAGATGTGGTATTCCTTAGTCATGAAGGCTGCTTGCTCTGAGTTGAGTCCCGTGAAGGTGAACATACCAATCTGCTTGATGATGTGGCTCCAGTCACCCGGTGTACCTGCCAACATGGGATGGAATATAAAATGAGAAGAAAAAAAAAAGAGAGGGAGAAACAAGCGGATTTTGAAATTGCTAAAGCTTTGAGTTATAGGATGAGCAAGATGAAGAAAGAAAGGAAGAAAGAACAAAAAAGGGCTATCTCAAATATTCAAGGCATGCTTGGATACAAATGTATCCGCTCAAAACGAATTAATTTTGTTGGATTTTGAGTTTATATTGAAATAATGTTCAAAATAAAATATTTAAAGTTGATATGATGTAAAAGCAGGAGAAAGATGATCTAAAGTGATAGTTAGTTAAAATTTTGTGAGTAGATGAATAAGAATAATTGTTTTGTAATATTTAATTATACTGACAATGTTGATGATTGTGGGATCGAGTTAAAGTTGATCTAAATTGAAAAAATTAATAAACAAACACCCCCTTAGTTACCTCGCTCACGTAAAGCATCAAATAGTTTCTGACGCATGCTGATGATACGGTCAGCCATAGCCTTCAGCTCGATTGTCCATTCTTCAAACATTGCTCTGTGGGGATTGTCACGAAGCTCCAACTAAGATCTTACTGACCCCATATTATAAAATTCAAACTAAGCTCTAATTAAGATATTCCAATTTCCTTTTTCAATTAGGTTTTCATGCTGATAATATTTCTATTACCTTAACAAAAGCATAAAAATAGTAAAACAGGTTGGACTCATATTTCAAAACTGCAAAATGTGGAGAATTGGCCAATACCTGTCCTTGAGGATAGTAGCTACAATTGAAGCCCCGTGAATGGGAGGGTTAGAGTACATGGGGCGGATAACTAATTTCAGCTGACTCTCCACCCTGCTTGCCACATCAGCAGTACGGCAAACCTGAAAATTTGGGAAGAATTTGAGCAAATTGATGAATCTGCATAATTCATTGAAGCATGCATATAATACATAGGATCAAGATCAACTTAATGGCAGTGCTTTATAGTAAGTCAATTTTCAACTACGTACAAGGAAAAGATATGTTAAAAAAAGGGAAAAAAATTAAAATGAAAGAAAGATGCAACCCAGGTAGTTTTTTCGGGATAGAAACAAAATTCAACAGTCAAAGAACAAAAAGAGCAGAATCCCCAGTTTCTTTGATTTATCAACTGTGCGCCATAGAATAATATCTCTTTTACATGAACAGAGGAAAATGAGTGACACCTCAAAAAAGTCATACAGTTCCTACATGTAGTGTTTACATTTTACCATATAGCAGCGTGTGTCTAGCAATTACAGAATAAATTGCGAACTTACAATGCTTAGAGCGCCAACTCGCTCACCATAAAGCCCCAAATTTTTAGCATAACTTTGAGCCACAAAGCATTCACCTCCATCATTAACGAACATCCGAACTGACTGTGCATCTGCGTCCAGGCTTCCACTAGCAAAACCCTACAGAGGAGAAAAGGAAAAATGAATGACTTGAAAAACAACTTAAAAACCAATGAATACATCTTTGGTACACAATGACAGTCAATTACTCAATTTCGAAAAAGTATGCAAATGTTAGTTCCATTACCTGATAAGCGCTGTCAAAGAAAGGTAACAATGCCTTTGATCTCATAAGCTGCCTTATCCCCTCCCACTGTTGAGGGGTTGGGTCAACACCAGTTGGGTTATGAGCACACGCATGAAGAAGCACAACTGCTCCTTCTGGAGCAGATCCAAGGTCCTCCATCAAACCTGTAATTTTATTAACAGAAAACCACAACTAAAGAGAAATAAGGATAAGGAGGATCAGACACCTTAACACAACATCAAGTAACCTTTCCCAGGTTATCCTTTGACAACACACATTTAGTTTAATTCTCGTAATGCTGATGCAAGATCAGATATACTATCAAACAAATAAGTATAATTGATACCTCATGTCGTGCCGCCTAAAATCACTTTTGGCTATCAAACTTCAAAACTATGTTTGAAACTACTTATAATAAATCAGGAATGCTAATAATTCACTGGCTAACATTTGCAACATGGAGGGGAAAAAAAGGACAAAAGAGAGAGGAGGGGAAAAAATTACCACTCTTGTTAATGGAAATCTATATATTTCAAGCTTATAAGAAAGTAATAATCGAACCTTCAAAATCTAGTCCGCGTGTAGCTGGATTGTAATAGCGGTAAGTCTTTACTGACAATCCTGCCAAACCAAAGACTTTTGGGTGGTTTCCCCATGTTGGCAGCGGAATGTAGATGATATGCTGCAAACCCAAGGACAATAGTTCAGTAACTCAATATTTCGGTGTTGCTAAAAGGAAAAAAGAGAGATTAAATAGAATGATAGAACAAAAAATTATAGAACTTGCTTGGTGATAGTGACGAGCCAAAAATTCACCACCAACTCTTAAAGAGCCTGTACCCGACAAACACTGAACAGTTGTCACCCTGTTTTCTTGGATAGCAGGGCTATTTTCATGCAAGAAAAGAAAGAATGTCATGTAAATCAAATTTGTTGCCAAAGTAAGTCACTAAAAAAATATCGGATATAATTTCAGCAACTGTTTGATAATTTTAATTCATAAATAAACGAAACAAGAGAGACCACAAGAAGAGTGTATATTTGGTTTCTCTTCTCCACCAAGTTTAACCCACATAACTGTTAAACTTCGGTATATAAGAAACTGAGGAAAAATTTAACTGTAGGAGCTTAAAAAACCTATGTGATGTATTAAAAATCATTACCTGTCAGCACCAAGTATGAGCTTTGCACTCAATTTATTGAAATCTGCGAGTCCAACAATTGGAAGATACTCCTTCACACGAGAGCTGGACATGAATCAAACTCTGCCCTTTCAGATTCTAATTCAATAAATATTGATACATAAACTAGTAATGTGAAGCTGTAAACCTGTCATTCACTAGCATCTGCTCTGCTCTTCTCACAACATTCAAAACGAGAGGCTTTCCTTCCTGTTGTCCATTTGTAATATAAAATCAAGCTAAAGATTGAAATTCGCATAAGAAAAAAATATAATAAAGGCAAGCACAGAAGCAGCATCACCTCCGTTCGGTAAGCACCAACTCCCAGATTCAACTTCACTGGGCTTTGGTCTTTGTTATATGCAACCGTAACCTAATCTTCAAAAGCTTAGTCAAATCTCATTTAATGAACAACTAAAAAAAGCAAACCTTAATTTCATATAGAGGGAGAAGATACACAGAAGGACAAATCATATATAAGATCTAAATTCACTTCACAGATTCAAAAAAGACAAGGTATCATAGAACAATTTCATCTAAGCATCAAATTTTATCAAAGAACAATTTCATTAAAAAGGTAAGAATCGTCCATGTCGGCATTTTAGCGATAGAGAGATGCTCGTAAAACGTAATCACAAAAGCTTTGGAATATCTTTTGAGTCTGTTCATATGTTTTCCATTTGCATGCGAACCTAAAAATTAAGTTAAACAACTGATACTCGTTAATAAAGAAAATGTGACCAACTTTCTCAGTAGCTTGAAGGAGCTCTCTATCTTAGACTATAGAAATTCCAAGAGTGAGCAGAAATAATAAAAGAAATCGAATACATACCACTCTAAAACGACCTAACAAATTCACATCAAACAATTTTCACCGATCAAAAAATCAACCACAAACACCGACACCATAAAGCAGGATCAATGCTATACGATCTACAAACTACCACACGCCACAAAACAGATGCAACTGCACTCAGAATCAAGATATTACTTCGGATAATCGAGAAAGATTAAAAAAAACAATCGAATTAATCTAAGAGCAAAATCTAATCCACCTTCTAATCGAATTCATAATCATTAATAATTACGACAGCTAGAAGAAACTCTACAAACACAAAACACACGCACAGTGTGTGAGAGAGAGAGAGAGAGAGAGTTACGCCGAGTATGGGATCTTCGGGCGCCCGAGCAACATGCTCAAACACAGAGATCCGAGCTCCGGCGGAGCCCGACGTCGGAGCGGCGGCGATCGGGTGGTTCTGGTTGTCCATGTCGTCGATGAGCGATCCTTCGAGGTGACGAACAAGAGCGCTTAGCCTGCGATCAGCTGGTGAAGACGGTGGCTGTGAAACGCGCATTTTATCCGAGTTCTCACACACTTTTTGATACAGCGTGCGTGAGTAAAAACCGTTTGCTAGCGTTTGCCGGTTTTTTTTCTTTTTATCCGAGAACGGACTCGGTGCGGTGGGGTTCATATTAAGGAAGGGGATGGTGCTGACGTGGCGAGATGCGGCGCCATCTGAGCTGTCCCTTTACTTGGGGAAATGGTAATGATGGCACGAGAATAGAGGAGGTTTACCGGATTAGGGTGTGGGCGAACGTAGGATAAATGGATAATGCGGTGTATATTGGCCGTTGGCACACAGATTTAGAACAGTTTATTTATTAATTATTATAATTATAAATTATTGAAAAGTCGTAGTATTCTTTTTGTATTCTTTTTGTTCAAGAAATCTTTAGAGAAGTCAAATAAAATGGCAAGAAACAACAGGCATCTTACTATTAAAATATAGTAGGAAGCGTCTCTATGGCCTCTTTCTTTGTACCAAAAAAAAAAAAAAATATAGTAGTATATTTTTGTACTTAACACGTATTTTTATTCCTTGGTTAAATAAATTATAATAATACAATTTTGAAATAAAAAAACCATATACTATAAAAACAATGATTTAATATTGTATAAATATTATTATTATAATATTATTATTATAGTTTTATTAGATCAATCAATTTTCTATCAAAATTCAAGAAAATAGTTTTCATCAAATTAAGCATTTAAACATTTGGGTTTAAAAAAGCCTCATAACGCATTTTACTATTTTTAATTATCAAACCAAATCGAACCGAACCAAATTAGTTTGGCTTGGTTATTCAGGCTTTTTTAAACATTTGGGTTTGGTTTGTTCAGAATCACACCGAGCCACAAAAAAATGTAAACCAATCTCGTGGACAAAATAACTTAACCACACAACATAAAAAAACGAAACAAAAACATTGTTTGTTGAAGTAACCAAAAACATGGACAAAAAACCAAACTACACATTGCATAAATACTTGAAACAAAAAATTTCTAAATTAAAATAAACCGAACCGAAGCAACTTGCACATCTCGGTTTTGCACATCACCACCTTTAATTTATTAAATTCACAATTCAGCTCGGTTTTGCTCATCACCACCTTTAATTTATTAAATTCACAATTCGGCTCGATTTTATTCACCACCACTATTGATTTATTAAATTCACAATTCAAAACGCGATGCACTGGTCCCGTGTTTTCATTTCCTATCGGATATTATTTGTATACCCTCAAGTATGCTAAAAAAAATAAAAGAGAGAATTACTCATCACATAGTTTCGATAATTAACTCATTCGAAAAAAATAAAACATGGCGAGACTCGATCAACCCATCGTTGCCTCTAAGCTGAACACTAAGAATATTTCATATGAGCGAAAGCATTAATCAATACAAATCAAGACACCTAAATCTGCTCCAATTCTGTTCTTTTTTTTTTT